CTTATCCCACGCAATATGAGCACCACAACTGGCAGGACATTAACATCCAAACTGTTACCCAGGTGGAAGTCAAATTCCCCGGCCAAGCACTTTTGTTTGCTCCTGTCACAGCTGGTAATCCTATCCATCGCTCGTATAATAAGAACATGGTACACATAAATCACAGATATGGCTTGAATATGAAGTCGAAGAGATCATACAAGAAGCCCCACAAAAGTTAAGAAGGCATGCTGTATTCGAAGAATTACGTAAAACCCACTCAAGAGATACCTTAGTCAGCTTTCACGCACATTTTGCTTGAACGTAACGCGCCGCCAGCCTATAATTCCATACGGGCATTTGCTGAATGAAGTTTGATCCCCTCGATCCGTCTTAAGTTTAGCCTTAACTCTTTGAAATAAGGCGAGAAAACCTATCGGCGAGCGGAGCTGACGCACGCAGTTCGCTCTCCTAACCCTCTTCTTTTTTCTTTTCGTCCCACCACTAAGCAATCTGCTTTGTTGTCTAATCACTTCGAAGTGAATCGAAAACAAAATAATTTCTAACTTAGTACAAGCAAGAAAACACCAGTCGAATAGGATTGGGGCATCTCGTTTATTGATCAGGCATAAACAGCCCTAGCGTAGTTTGTTACAGCAAGCATAAATGGCCCTAGGATAGTTATTAATACAACAAATGTACCAAACAAAAACAAGGAAATTTTACTATAACAAAATTTCCAGACTGAACAACTCCTAACGGACAAACTCCTTAAATATTCACTTCTTAGCATAATTATACGTAGCCTGCATACCAACGAATCTACATACCGGCACACAACTATCTTACAATAACAACGTGAAAAATTATATATAATTTCGCTTTTATAATTCTTATGCATTCTGTGTTAATGTGCGTTCTTCAGTAGAATTAAATTGTAGACAATCCTCAGAGATCGAAATCCTTGATGTCGCTAATTTTTTAGGACTACGAAATATTTACTATTGGTCGGACAAAAATATCGTTTCTTCAGGTTAACAGTATCCATTTCAAAGTCATCTATAATTTAAGAAGCGTAGACGATTTAAATCCTTGGCAATGAATAACAGTTCTACGGGTATGATATTGCTGTCCAAATGCTAAATTGAAAATTAAAGCTTGTAAAAACCCGCGGGCAAGGACCTGGAAGAAATTTGCCATTTTAGTACCCAAAAATATAAGAGCCTGTTTAGCCAAGCAAGATCAAGCAGGTTCCTATATGTGGATTACACTAATTTATGTTAAACATTTTAAGCAAGGAGAGTGACTTAAGTCTGGTTTTCACTAGCGACGCAAGCACAAGCGCAAGCACAAGCGCAAACACAAGCGCAAACACAAGCACAAACACAAGCGCAAGCTAAGCACAAGCGCAGGCACAAGAGCAGACACAAGCGCAAGCACAAGAGCAAACACAAGCGCAAACACAAGCACAAGCACAAGCACAAGCGCCAGCAAAAGTGCAGGCACAAGCGCAGGCGCAAGCTAGCCCAAGCACAAGCGCAAGCATAAGCACAAGCACAAGCAATAGGGATGACCCAAGTGAAAACGAAATTCGACGCAAACACAAGCACAAGCAAAATCATCCGAA